AAACAGTCGGTGAGTTTAGGACTGGGCGGGCGGGCGACGATGCGCTGCTCCACGCTCTTGGCCATCCTCACAGGGGTGCTGTTGTACCTGGTGCTGGGGGCTGTTGTGTTCCGGGCTCTGGAGACTCCACGAGAGGAGGGAAAACACCTGCAGCTGCAGAGGGCCAAACGAGACTTCTTGTCCAACTTCACCTGTGTCGACTATGAGAATCTGGAGAAGTTCATAAAGGTACAACAGTGCATCATACAACTGAATTATTTTATTCTTGGCTTTATAGTACTTTCATCTTACATAATATTTCTACTATATGCTACACTACATTTACAATACTTTACTTAATACATACACTAATATGATCAATGTATTGGTAGGTTTACAATGGAATATTAGACACAGGTGTATGTCTGGATAGAGTGGCTGCTCCTTCAGTATGTTGTCTCGGGGCTGTTGTGGACACAGAAAAAAATATACATCACATATCAGATGTGAATATGATACAGCCTTACTGTGTTTTTATGATTTTGGTCATCCGGACATGACTGACCAGTTGGAGAGGCTGTAAACCTTTTTTAAGATGGTGTGGTGTTCCTGACCTCATTTGAACCACTTTCATTGACCTCTGTGGCTGCTCCATAAATGCACTGCAGGCCATTCTACCGGCAAGTCCAGGTCAGTCTTTGTAATAAAGCCAGAGGGGACGACTCTGTCCAGAGATAAATCTAAATGAAGAGGACTATGTTAAGTGGTATTGGTAACAAATGTGCATATGGAGGTTCTCATGTTTTTCTAAGCATTATTAGGTTTAGTGGGATAGTACCTGTAGTAAATATTTACTATAGTTTTACATCAGTTAAGTGGCAGTTTCAGAAAAGTACAAAATACAGGAAGTAGAAGCAAATTAAACCTACAAGACAATTTATGCACAAGGAACAAATTTTTTGGCAGTTTTAATATTCATTTAACAAAATAATCATCATAACTGTAACTGTTGTGTAATTTAGACAAATGTGGTCCTTGTTAACATTATAAAACACATGTAACAAAACAAACAAAAACAAAAAAAACTTGACGAAAATTGTCAAACTAGGGAAGATGTTTTCAATTATTGATCAAATATGTTTTAAAAAAATATGTGGTCTAATCTGTCATATGCACTTTAGATAAAGCACATTTATGCAACCATGCATACATTTGTGATTCTGGAAGAGAAAAACCCGTCAGTATAATTAAACAGATATACACAAATTCTAAGAGAGGAATAACAAGTCACCTGCTTTCCCACATGAAGACTATTTCGATTAAAGGCTCCTTGGAGATTTACATTTATTTAGACACTTGCGGTCCAGGGCCAGGATAAGGACAGGTGTGATGTGGACAGGGCGGCCCTGGGCGGTGGAGAAACTTGAAAGCTGATCCACTCTGAGTGTTTGTTCTCACTCACTTGGCAACTAAGATGTGATTTCTGAATGTTTGTCTCCACTCCAATATGTAGACAGTAAACCACAGTTTTAGCATGTTAAACATAACTGTATGTAGATGACAGACCAGGTTTAAACAGGCTCTAGTCTATTTATTAAGTGCAAATGTATGTCAGACCTCATAGACTGCCTACAAGTGATTGGCTGTGGAGTATTGCTTAGAAGGCTTGTATTTACTACTGAATGGGTGATCCACATGTTGTAAACATAAGTCCCTATAATGTGAGAGACCCAAACAGCTGCTGAATAGTCATTCTTCAGATACTATTAAAGGTTTACATTCTCTCCAGCACAGTGCAGGCTCCTCAGGTTTCAGCTCATCAAAGTCAACATGTCTTTGTTGTCCCAGACACACTGTCCACAACTCATCACATGACAACCTCAGAGACCACAACAGGCCAGACTTTTCTGGGATGGCCTTTTCACTCTGCTATGTTACGATGTCTATTTGTCAACTATTATGTGAACAAAGAACACTAAGGCCCAAAGCATTTAGGGGCACTCACCGTGTAATGTCCGAAAAATAGTGGTTTAACCAACAAAGCATGAGCATACTGATCTGTAATGGATCTTAAATATTTATCAACAATGTCAAAATTGCTGTCATTACTGCTTGTTGGGTATGGGATGCGACACAATTTCCATGAGACATGACATAGGTCAATAGGTCCACGAAAACAAAACAACATTTTGACATTATTTATTATAATAAATTACTTAGTTAATGTTTTTGCTGTCTTTGCACTGCTTTTTAGAGCTACACCTTCTCAAGACCTTGGGGAGAAAAAATCTCATGATCATTTTCCAGATGTGTGCACAATCTTGTGGCAATTTTTATTTCACAAAAACATCTTTGCTGTTATGCTGTTACTTCTGTTATTTCTATAGCTTAATTTGTTAACGGCGTCCTGTGCCAAAAACTGCCAGTGGAAGGAATGAGATATGCTGTCAGATGATGCTTTCTAATGGACTCATATAATCTGCACAAGACACAGGAATCTTATAGAAGCAAACCTGAAAATCACTCAGCTAGCATCCCTCTTATGAGGGTCATTATGCGAAAATGTGTTTCAATATACACATACACTTAAAAAAAATAAATAAATAAATAAACTACATAGCTGTATAGGCAAGGTTAAGAAAAAGTTGGTGTCTAATGTTTATTATACAAATTTTCCAGTCAGGTATATAATATACTGTATATTCCTAAGTACGTTAAACAATAATGTTTTCCACTAGTCAACAAAACAAGAGAATAGATTGTGAAAATCTCATTAATGATAAATGTTCACATTTTTATATAGCACTTTTCCGCTGTCAAAACACTTGAAGCTTTACATTAAGGAACCACTTACCCACACACATTCATACATCAATGTATACAGACACTGGGGGCGAGATGACAGTGACACATCTGTGGGAGCTGGAATCTCATTGCCAACCTGTGGGCCAGTGGATATAACCACTTCAATAATTATGTTTATGTCGAGAGTGGGAATCAAACCTCCAACCTTCAGATCAGTGGACAAACACTGTCAATGTTTACAGTCAATCAAATACAGCAAAGCCTTATGTTTGTTAATTAGACTATCAAACGAATAACACAATCACATCCATATATGTGATTAATACTGATAATGCACATTGATCTACTGACACAAAGTCTCTCGTGAATATTTTTCAGGAGGTGGTCGAGGCCATTGGTGCCGGAGTGCAAGCCACAGGTAATGCATCCTTTGTGAGTCAGTGGGATCTTGCCAGTGCCTTCTTTTTCTCAGGAACCATTATCACTACCATTGGTGAGTAGTAATTAATGTACCTTTATTTGTTTAGTACATTATTGAATTTATGTGGATGTACTCTTAGGGTTTGGGAACATTTCTCCTAAAACTGATGGAGGCCAGCTGTTCTGTATTTTCTATGCCTTGGTGGGAATCCCCCTCTTTGGTATCCTGCTCGCTGGTGTGGGAGACCATCTTGGTACTGGACTGAGAAAGGCTGTGCTTAAAATCGAGACTATCTTCCTGGTCAGTTCCCATTCTCCCTGTTTGTTTGTATGACTTTAATTAATGAATTTGTTCCAATCATTTCATTCTTCACTTGTAGAAATTCCGTGTGAGTCCCACTATTGTACGAGTCATCTCAGCTGTTCTGTCCATTCTGTTGGGATGTCTGCTCTTTGTGGCAGTACCCATCCTGATTTTCCAGGAAGTGGAGGGGTGGTCTCTGCTTGAGTCAGCATATTTTGTAGTTATCACACTTACAACGGTTGGCTTTGGTGACTATGTTGCAGGTAATGTTATAATGCAGAACACACACACACACACATATATATATATATCAGTAAATGACAAGACAGGATATAAGATAAATAAATAAATAACATCAGAAAGTGTTTATTTTTAAGTGTTTATTTTTCTCTGAATGGAGAAGGAATTACAGAGCTGCACTAATAAAAGAAATCTAGCTGTTGTGCTAACTACTGAAACTGCTTGCTGACATATTGATGATTAATATGTAATGTCCATACAAATAAATAAATATACAGCAAAGAGCTTTAGAATGCAAACAAGAGAATAAGAATGAAGCAATAAAAGCACAAAATATGAAAGACTATGAGACAAATACCTATTTATAAATTAATATAATAATAATGTATGTGTAGTCCCTAAGGTTTCCAGGAAGGGTTCATAAAAAAAAAAAAAATCTACCCTGTCAAAAGCTTTCAGGAGTTAATATTTTTCTCCATTTATCCAAGTAGCTTCTTCAGTTTTTTTTTTTTTTTTTTTTTCAAAAAAACAAACAAACAAACAAACAATAATTCACAATGAAATCACTTGCTCTGGGGTCTATTTCCTCCTCTGTAATAACTACTGTCGACCTGTCCTCAGGTGATTCTGGATATGAAGGCAGTGATCATTGGTACAAGCCACTGGTCTGGTTTTGGATCCTCCTGGGTCTCGCTTACTTTGCTTCCATTCTGGCTATGATTGGAAACTGGCTCCGAGTACTGTCAAAGAAAACCCGAGCTGAGGTACTTTCCTGTTACGCTGTCTTGTTTTACCTATAATACTATCCAGCCCCTTCATAATCTATATGGCTGGGAATCAGAGGGTCTCTCACGATTCGATGTGATATGATATGTGACTCACCATACAATAATATCATGATACAACAAAACATTAAAGAACAAAAGACATTTAAAACAACAATATTTATATTTGTTAAATCACTACACGCACAAACCTAATATGACATACTACATAATCATCAAAACATTGTCTTGTATGGCATAAGCCAGTTTCCAAATTGTACACAAAATAATTTTTAAAATATACAAAAAAAAATTGCATTATATTGATATAACAGCCCAGGATAATGAAATATATCACCAAATTAGGATCACAATATTTTTATATTATTGCACAGCCCTAATAATCTGTGGTATCTCATGTCAGATGGAGGAGCTACGGGCCCATGCCTCTGACTGGACACAAAACATCCAGAACATGTCGGTGGACTTCAAGATGCCTGGGAAGATTGATGATCCGTTTAAGCGTCGCAGGCGAAGGCGTCGTCATGGTGGCCGGAGCCACCATAGCCATAGCCATAGTGTGTCAGCAAATGGTCCGGGTGGGAACCACGAGGGCCAGGAGGGGAGTCAGTCCGGGTCTGAATCATACACCTCATCTTCATATTCATCTGATGAGGAGTCCGAATCCGGTTCAGAGTCCGGCTCCCAAGCCACGCAAACAGATCGAGTCCCCGAAGACAAGCCTGTTGAGCCCCCAGCAGCACCACTCCACCTGTCTCAGCCTCTGGACTACTTTGGGGAAAACCTTGCCTTTATTGACGAATCCTCAGATGCTCAGAGTGGAAAACTACATGTGGATCCTCTCATAGATCCCACACAGCCCAACGGTATGCGGCCAAGACACCCAAAGAGGAGACGCCATAGGAGGCATGTCCCACACAGAAGCAACCATCAGAACAACCACACTACCACCATCCCTGAGGTTAAAGAACCCAATGGAAATCTAAAGCCAATTTCAGAACCACCATCTAAGCCTTAGTAACTGACTGCAGGAGCTCCACTACTAGCACAAGTATCAAAGGAATTATCAAATCAATTGAGATGCATTATAAGAGAATTTTGCGATTTATTTATTTGTGTATTACTTACAGACACTTAATGGAAGTCTTGTGTTTGCATTTGAAGCTCTTAGCATGCGGGTGTGTATGCCTCAACCAAACATAATGAACTGACTCTAAGCTACTGTTGCCTAAATAAAATAGAGAGAGACTGCTCTCTACTGGGCCTTATTGAAAATGCACTAACTACAGCACTGTTATTTAAGTTGCTCTCAAACACAGAGGTAACCATATGCAAAACTTTATCTAACTGATTTCTAGGTCAAAACTTGCCTTTCACGAAAACCTTAACTCTGCCAACCAACAAACGGGTACTAAACATGCTGTTATACTTTTGTGTCTTTTTTATATTGTAAAATACATGTTCATTTTGGAGGCTAATGTGTTACTTTTCACATGTGTACTGCATATATTAAATAAAACCCTTTAACAGTACAACTATTTGTGTAAAATCCGCACCACAAAACAAAGTGCTGGGCAATCACTTTTTACTGTACTGTATACTGTGATCATTCAGGCAGCCTCTTGGTGGCAGCAATGATTTCTTTTTCTAGGCATGCTCATAAGTAATAAGCGTGTATGGACTGAAATTCAGATCATTAAATTGAATGAGGTGGAGTAAATCATGTTTAAATTAATATCTGACATCAGCAAATGGGTAGTGTATCATTCACACTGTAATGTGTGCTGAGCTTTGCCTATATAGAAAGTGTTTAAGTAGAAGCTTTTAAGATCACTTTTGTTTGCTGTACTTTACAATTGTTTTATTTCCACATGTAGATTAGGTTATATTCTGCACAGATAATACTTTTCTTAGAGTTAGGCCTATTTAAAAGATACATATTATTTATACGTTTTAACTATACAGTGATGGTTTTAAATCACAATAGTGGAGAAAGTCGAAATGAGGTGTTGTCTGATGACCTTGAGGGGGTATATATGGCCTAGTCTATGTTCCCCAGCTTGATCTGTAAACGATACTCCCCTGGAAACTCAATCTGTTTTAATCTGAAAATGGGATCAAGGGCAAGACAAGAGTGGAAACAACTGCACATTTCTTTTGTTTCCAGAATATCTGTGATGACTTTTCAGGACGAACATAAAAATTATAAACTCTCATCCTGAATCCACTGTGCGTTAATTTGTTTGTCCTCATATAACCAGTAGAGGGCACACTTTAACATGTGATCAACCAAACAGTGATCAAACTTCCACATATGCAAATACGATTGTTAACTTGGCTGTGATGAGTGGGCATTATTGTGGTATAATTTTTGTGTAATAGACCTGGCAGACTCCAGGTCCCACCTCAGTATTTAAGGAGGCTTGAATGTTGGTTGCCCTTTGGAATTTGACACTTTGCTGCAGATCTGCTCAAAGGAAAGCCATCGCCTTGTCTTGAGATCAGGAAGTTAGCAGCAGCAGTGATGTACAGTGGCAGTGCGTGACCTTTAGCGGAGCGGAGGACACGAGTCTGCTGCTGCCATAACGTCATCAGGCACGCGGCTGTAATGTGCTCTTTGCTCCACTGAGGGGCGAAGGAGAGTTTGACCTTATTTCAAGGGAATGTTCAATAAAGTTCAAAAAGGCATTTCTGCAAGTTAGGTAGGCTAATACAAAACTCAGAAGATATTATAAATAGTTCACCATTGCAACAGCAAGTCTAGACTAAAGGTGACAATGACCACTTGGCCTATTTGCATATGAATGACCCATACATACATTGTACCATTCATTGGACCAATAAAACTATGCTACACTTTAATCTTGATTGAAATTATTTTATTATTTGTATTACTGATGGAGACTTGGTTATCAATTATGCAATGGGTGAGACTCCTTAATGAAACGACTTGTACCTTTTCAATACCCTACATTACAATGACTTCTTGGCGTTTGAGCGGACACCTGTCTAAGGTCACGACCTGTTGTAAGAAACACCCTAGGGTCCCAAGCCGGTATTAACCGCCTGTCTGCTTGGCATGTAATCCCCTTCAAACACGCTCTTCTGATAACCTAGATGATGCAGCGGAATAAAAAGGAACATCCAGCCGTAAACAAATGATTTAAAAGATATATATCATATTTTTTTCCTCTAATATTGTGTGGCTATAATGTACTGCACCATTATGGTGCCGACCCGCAGAATTGCAGTGTCTGCAGCAGAGACTCAATGACCTTGCTTCAAGGTCGTAGTGACACTGCCGTCAGTTTTTCCTCTCGTGCGCACTCTACAGCTACAGCCTGCGTAGTGGTCTGCATGTGACCACCATAGTCACAAGCAGCAGCGCCTGTCCTGCTCTTTGACACCACCAGGCAAATGTAATGACCACTTATTGGATTAATCCTGGTCAGAACCAAAGCTTGTCTGTCCATGATCAAGCCTTCAAGCAGGGAAATATTTGATGTCCCTCTATAATTCACTGGGTAAGCCCGTCAGTGCTTCAACCACGCTTTTCTGTTTGTGCCAGCTGTTTCTAGCAAGTTAGGGAACAGGGGGCTGACTATTTTAAGAAAAAAGACTGAAACAACATTTCGGCTGTCTATATGGGAAAAAAGTGACTTGTATGCTATTATAATGACATAAGAATGGGTTATGAAATGCAGAGCCAGACTGTTCCCATTGCGTTGATCCGGTTGGTGGCCTCTGTTTTGGCTACTGTCCAAGTGGAGTAGTGGTGGAGTGAGTGAGACGGGTCAGTGTCACAAGACCAAAGCATGACTGGTTTCCATAGGGGCAAAAACTGCACCCACAGGAAGGTTCTAGCAAATATAATAGATCTATATTCTGATTGCATGCCATTATCTATTGTAAAACACATATTCTGCTAATTTTAGTTCACAATTAGAATCAACAATTCATGTAGGCTAAAATTAAAAAACAAAACAAAAATCGAGTACCCAAATTTAGCCTATGCTGCAGATATAGTAGGTCTACTGTATGACATAACGCTAATATCTCTCAAAAAAAAACTGAAAATGATGAGTGACGCTATGGAAGGAGCGCACAAACGTAAGAGAAGTACGCAAATTGTAAAGAGGGAGGAGACACGTTTCTACGTCATCAAAAGAGAAGCACGCGTCAACAACCGGAATAAGTCTGAACTTTGTTAAAATAAAAGCTCAACGAATACTATGTAATTTTTAATTTTACGGTTTTAAAGTGGTAAATCTCACAATTGTAGGTGTACAATGTAAAACACTATTATTTTGGCTGCTTGTTGTACTGCAATTTATTAGCGTTATTTTTTTGCGCACCTTGTGTACAATCTCATCTTTTATTTTGAAAAGCCCACCGGATACACAAAAGCTGTCTCGGTAAAGATCCAGAAGCGCTCAGACTACCTCGTCAGTGTTGGCAGCAGGAGAAGGTAATTTATAACGCCGCTGTACGGATCGGAACAGACGGATAAAGACAGCGGGTAGCCGGGTCGTGACTGAACAGACAACTTAAGGACATCATAAACCCCATTGCGATGCTGCCGTGGTGGTCTCAAATTGGTTAACCCGACCGTGGACCGGACTCACGTTTCAAGCGAGACTGCGATGTTTCTGCATGCACCAGTAAGTAGCATCACCTGGCATACTGTCAATAAATATCCTGCTAACATTTGTGAACCGATTATTGTGATGCTGGGTGTTGAGACAGAGGAATCTATATGCGAAGTACGAGAGAACAGAATGCGCTGCTGGGGGTATGGCAGCTGTAGGAAATGCAGCAGACGCGCATATTGTGTGAAAATAATTATCATTAGGCTAAAAGCTGCGAGAGCCCAGCTGACACTACACCTAGGAGCCTATAAATTACAGTGTCACATTGTCTTCGACTTTGATACATTGTTATTTTAATTACTCGTGGCCATGGGAATCCAAAAGAGTAGCTGAAACATGTTTATTTAAGTCTTATGGTTTTGCACTTAAAACTCCAGTTTCTTACTTGTCGGACTTTGCAGCGCTGGTATTTTCCCTCTTTGACCTAAAGCATTGATATTTCATAGTTACAGAGCCTCCAGTACCAGGATTGAGACTGCTGATCTTAAAGTATAATAGCCAAGGTGTAATCCACTTTGGCAATTAACCTCTCACCGGTCCGAGATCAGTAGGCAAGGTCACCCTTGGGTGCTGTTCTCCTTGTCTCCCCCGTGCGCCGCATGTATAATCTTGATTCTGACTTTAATGTAGTTTCATCGGTGCGTGTTATTCAGAGATAAAACCAGCTCTGTTTCCCCAACCTGTGATGGCAACTAAGAGATTAACTATATGGAAATACGTTAAGATATTTAGACATTTCTGTAGCATAAAAGTACAAGGCAGTTTAAGAATTCAAAATGTTGTTTTGCGCCTGCATGTGGCTATTGAAATGTGTGGACTTGTCCAGAAAGATAATGCATTTCATGACTGTAATAGCAGCATTAGTTCTAGCGCTCTTCATAGTGTTTAATCTTGTCTTGAGAGAATCACTCTGAAGTGACAGTGGAATGAGCAAAGTTGGGTTATCTCTAAAAAAGTATCAAAGCCACTTAATTATTTACAGGGCTATTACTAAACTTCAACCAATACAAGGCTGTATGAGTGAGGGACAAGGTGTTGGCTTCACTCTGACTGTCCTTCAAGCATTCCTGTGGCTGTGACCTTTGGAGTGTGTGGTGCATGTTAGGGGGAGGGACCAGGACTTGTGCAAAATCTGTACACATACATTTTGTTAGGTGTTGTAATAACAAACTGCCTCTATACTGGACCATAAATACTCTTTTTAGAATGTGAACTTTGGTATACAAACTTTGGCATATGAGAAACTTATTTTATTGCACTAGCCACACACTAGGGAATAAGATAACAATAAATACTGCTTAACATGGTTGTGACATCCTTGGTTAAGTTAATGACACTTTTTCTTTTTTGCAGATGTCCTGACCTTCAAAACAATCACATTTCACTGAGCTATCATTGGACAAAGCTGTCATAAACTTCCTACTCCAGGTCAGTGCACATCACATAACTCTTAACACTAAAGCCTTGCAGCCAGTATTCAATTTAATACCAGCATGGCAATACTACAGGCTGTTATAAATACAGTATCTTAATGTGACATCAACTTTCAGCATGGCCTAGTTATCCAATAAGATGCTCACATTAGAGGTGGGAGATAAATCAAAATAAATCAAAATTGTTTTTTTTTTTAGAGATGCAAAATTATATTCAAGAGTAAAGCAAGTACAAAAACTACTTAAAAAAAACTTTAAAACTCTTAAAAACAGAAATGTTTAATGTAATCTTCTAAACAAGAAAGAGATAATTAAGAAAGAGATAATTTCATGATCTATTCATGCAATAGTTGAACCTCAATCAAGACATTTACAGGCCAATTTTAGCATTTTTTGATGCTTCGTTAAAATATTGTCTTATATCGTTAGCGAGACTCCTAGCTCGCATACAATTTTGGTTCAAATCAATGTTGCTGATAATCCAAACAAAATCCATTATGCACCATGCTATTCTAACCACATTCTGAGTGAAGACTGATGCAGAAGATTAATATGCTTACCGTTGTGCAGTGGTTGATAACCTTCTACAAAGGAGAGGTGCACAGTGCCTGGAAAAGTCACCTTGGATTTCCAGATCATCTGAAGAACAGACACACGTTGACTGAAAACTAAATAAGACATCACTTTGAAGGGGAAAAAAGGGCAAAATAAATCTTATCTGTTCATTATTAAGTGGAATAGAGACAGTTAAATGTATTCATTATTAAGTAAACCATGACAACAAGAGCACTTTATGGGTCTCTTTCATTACAGATTTATATTTATCCAAGTTCTATATTTAGTAATTAGTTTAATGTTAATCAACTAGCTGTATTTGGTACTACATAATGAAACAATAGAGTGTGTGTGGGGTGAAACAAAGTGCTCAAAGTGGTGTTGGCTGTAAATAAAGAGAAGAGCACAGTAAAAAGTTAGTTGAGCCTTTATTACCTCCCAGCTGTTTTATAGAAAACCGACGGTAGCCCGGCCCATCACAACACAATCAACCCGACACGAGTTAGCCAAGCAAGGGGCAAAAATCTTATAAATCTGAATAATGAAATCGGAAGTGCAAGCCGATAATTGAAACTAGGCAGCGTCACGTCAGGTGAGATGTAACGTAATGTATTGTACAAGAAACTACTTTGTATAGAGTTACCTCGCATTGCTTTGATGTCTCAGGTTCAGTTCACTAGCATTAGCTAACAAAAGCTATCCAGCTAGCTATAGCTATCTGCTGCTAAGCCTGTTACCTTTCGCATTTGATGCTACAAGCAGCCTATAACGCTAGCTAATGTGTCTCTTTTATGACAACACTCAGCCTGATTGCACAATAACAAATATAGATATTAGTGAAAAATTAAATTAAGTGAAATAAACTCTTTTCCTGTTAAGTTGTTTTACATTTTGTACTTGCCCTCGTGTTTGCTCCTAATGGTAATCGGTGAACTGTCCCGTGGCACATATGGCCCATGTGTTTTTTATTATAATTTGCGAAACTTGTAGACTTTTATTGTAAGTCTCTTCTGCATGTCGTGAGTATTGGGATTGCATTGCAATAAAACTGGCACCTAAAGTGAGCCAATAGGTTAAGCTGAATTAAAACTACATAAAGACAGCGTTGACCGTCCACTGCCAGTTATAAGCTGAGGGCAAACTCCAAGTCATGTACATTACGGTTTTGCTTTTGTGCTTTACCCACTGCTATCTCTTTTACCACTGCTCTATATTCCCACGGTTCTTTGAAAATGTGGCTGTAGAGTCCTTTTGTCTTTACTTTGAAATGTAAATCCATAATCTGACACTGTAGGAGCACAGAGCTGACCCCACAGAAATATGCTTGCAAAAAGTAAAAATGTGAGTGCATTTTCAAAACGTTACTCCATATAGTACATTAGTTTACAGATTTCTCTACATTGGACTCTATGTCTCAAAACATCACACTAGGAGTGTTTTAGTGATAGTAGTGACCTTTATGCTGTCATTGTCATCTCTTTACTGATAATCTTCTGCATTAAATAAACAAGATATCACCGCAGTTGTCCACTACATTTGAATGAAAATGCCGGCAGAGCTGCTGGAGCTATTTTGAATGATCCCTTGTGTCAATCATTCTTACTCATTGTGTTTTTATTTCCTGTAGGCATCATGTCTTCCAGAGAGCGCCGTTCTGACGTCTACATAAAGGCAGAGCCCAGCAGTCCAGAGGGAGGTGGAGGAGGGCGCACCAGTCCCGGTGGAGCCTCCTCAGACTCATCACAGAGTGGAGGTGGAGGCACCAGAGGAGACAGTGCAAAGCGGTACTCTCCTCCTCTCTACACCCCAGCTTTACGTTGTCACTTTAAGGATGAAGGTGGTGATGTAGCAGAAGAAGGCTCCACTGGAAATGGGGCTGGTCGCTGCAAGTACGCCCTCAGTACACTACCCAAACGGCTGTGTTTAGTTTGTGGTGATGTTGCCTCTGGTTACCACTATGGTGTTGCCTCATGTGAAGCCTGCAAAGCCTTCTTCAAGAGAACCATCCAAGGTCAGTTTTGCATCTGGAAAGTACTCAAAATTATTAATATTATTATGAGTATACAATAACAAGTAGAAATGAAACAATTAGCCTAAACTATTTAGTGGGTGATCTAGCCTAACCCAGCCTTTGTCACAATATAATTCCCTTTCCATTTTAGGTAACATTGAGTACAGCTGTCCAGCATCAAATGAGTGTGAAATCACAAAAAGGCGTAGAAAGGCTTGCCAGGCATGCCGCTTCACCAAGTGCCTCAAAGTAGGCATGTTAAAAGAGGGTGAGTGCTGATGGTATGCATATGATGCATATGGTATTGCTTATAACTTTGATTAACTTCCTTACATTTGATTTAAATGCTCTTAATTATTATTATGTAGGTGTTCGCCTTGATAGAGTCAGAGGTGGAAGACAAAAGTACAAGAGACGCCCGGATGTGGAAAATGCTACATACCAGAATGCCCCATTACCCCTCACCAAGGAGAGTGAAAAAGGTGACATGACTTTTCTGACAGCACGCATAGATTGTGTATGTTTTTTGTGTTATACTCATTATTTTATTTCATTTTTTATCTTGTGGCCTAGGTTCCTCCAACATCATTGTGTCCCATCTGCTTGTGGCAGAGCCAGAAAAATTATTTGCCATGCCTGATCCTCTGCAGCCTGACACAGCTCAGCGTACACTAACTACCCTCTGTGACCTGGCCGACCGAGAACTGGTCGTCATCATCGGCTGGGCTAAACACATTCCTGGTATGAATCATGGTGCAAAACCCTCTAAACTTTTATGTTCTCTAAAAATGGTAATTAATATCAGTATAAAAGTTTGAAAATCTAAATCAACTTAATCAGATTTAAGGACATAGTCAATGTGCATGGGCAAAATCATGATCTATTCCCTGCTGTGCACTGAGATTGCATCTTCTGTCCATCTGTCTGGCCTCCTGCAGGCTTCTTGTCACTGTCTCTGGCAGACCAGATGTCGGTGCTGCAGTCCGTTTGGTTGGAGGTGCTGGTTTTGGGTGTTGCTTATCGTTCCCTGGGCTGTGAGGATGAGGTAGTGTTTGCAGAGGACTTTGTCCTTGATGAAGAGATGTCACGAGCTGCGGGACTCACTGAGCTAAATGCAGCTATTAGTCAACTGGCCCGACGCTTCCGCGCCCTCAACTTGGACCGGGAGGAGTTTGTTATGCTAAAAGCCATAGCTCTTACCAACTCAGGTATTGAACCTTTGACAGTTTGGTCAAGGCTTTGTTTGTGTGGGATAAAAGTAATAATGAACAAGTTAATGATACATCATTAACAATTTTCTTCTATTTTTCTGTTGTGCCAGATTCTGTTTACATTGAGGACATGGAAGCTGTGCAGAAGCTGCGGGACCTACTGCACCAAGCTCTGCTGGAGCTTGAATGTCAGCGACGCCCAGACGACCCCCAGCGGGCCGGACGCCTCCTTTTAACATTGCCTCTATTAAGACAGACTGCAGGCCGTGCACTCACCACCTTCTACAGCATTAAGACACGAGGAGGGGTACCCATGCACAAACTATTCCTGGAAATGCTGGAAGCCATGATGGACTCTCCTTAGAGCAGAACAGAAGTGACTTTGTGAGACCAACAGAGATATTCAAGAGGAAGAAGAAATAACACTAGGGAATAATTAAGCAGCAGAACATTCCCCTTTGAGCTGCGATAAAAGTAGTCCAAGAACTTTGTTTTGCTACTTTTGGCGAGATGGTCATCGGCAAACTTGGTTATGTGGCTTCTAAATGATTAATAACTACCAATGTAGGAACCCCACCTGACCTACTACTTCATTTTGTATTCACAACAATGAACCACTGGAGGAGCTGCAAACTGTAATCACGGCTATAAGACTTATATCAATGCAATCTCCTCATAGAAGCCATAATAAAATGTTTTAAGCAAAAGAGGGTCCAGTGAAGGGTCAGACTGACATGCACATAAAGTGCTTGTATTCACTGTAGATTAGTGTGCCATTGTAGGCAAATTCATAGGAATTACTTGCAATATAGTAAAAGCAATATAATGGCTTAATTGTTGTCACATTTAAAATGTGGATAAAGGATTAGATTTTCATGTCCATATACAGTTGTTTACAACTGCTCAAAACTCCAAGAGCTGTTTGTTTGGGCTTGAATTGCTGGTTTATAGATGCAGAGCTCAGCTTTGAAACCAGAGCTGTAAACCTTTTGTGTACAACATAATGCTTTATAAAACTGTGCAATTGAAGAGATCTGTTGATGTGCGTATAAATATAAAAAAATATATGCACAGATAATGAGTTTTATCCATAGTAATATATTCACTGTAGTTTCTATAAATCCCACTGCCAAACTGAGTAGGTGGAGGTGATATGTCCAAAACAGTGACCCCCCTGTGGAGGCAGGAGCAAAAGGTGATGCTTGCTTTTTTTAATTTTATTTTTTAAAATATTTTTTGTTTAAAATTTTCATTTGAACAGCGATACTTTTTAGAATCTGTACAAGTGTAGGTGACTGGTTTGGTAAGTCCTGTATGTATAATAGATCCAGGAGGTTGTAACAGTTTTCTGCAGCAAGTAATGGAGTGTTTTAAATTAGAATCCTTTTATGTCCTTTACATTGGTCGAACAACATGCCTGTACAGTAATGCGTTCAGGGCAACATAGAAAGTTAAAGAAAAACTATGATACATTTTAGATGTTAACATTTTGTCAACCCTTAAATCCCTCTTTCAGTTTTTTAATTTCACAGTTGACTGTCATTATGAGAGTTTCAAATTACTTCTTCTGCTATCTGATATGAACATCAGATAAGCAATACTGTACGTAGAGGCCCAGGGGCCAGTAGTTACTTAGCCATCCACAGTTCCATTTAAATTGGTAAAAACATGCAATTTATTATGGAAGAATAAAGCCAGCAGATGTTCTAAATGTCCCTGTTATTTGTACTGTGTCCATGCAACTTTTGGCGTACTAAAATTTGTATAAAGCGACTAAACTGCATTCATGTGAAGGTATTTTTACTTCAGAATCAGCACTGTTTTGGGTTTGGTACTGCGATTAAGCTGATCAAACTGAATGTTTTGAATTCTTTTTTTTTTTTTTTTTTTTTTTTTTTTATATATAAGTTGTATCTTTGTTGAACATGATTGTCTGGGATCAGGCTACAGGGCTACCTCAGAAGGCAGTGTGCCAGATGGCCAAACAACTAGTGTTTTTATTTTGTTCAGGTATTTGATGTTTGGAATTCATCTCTCAAGCTAAATTTCTCTTGTTTTCATTTCTTACAGCATCTTCACTGAACATGGTGTGACATTTCACATAATGTCTGCTTACATTCTACAATATCTATTACGTTATTCAGTATATCATCTTGGACAGTAGCTCAGAGCACTGCAGGTCATATATTACAAGTTCTAAACTACTATGAATCTTCTCCATTCTTTTTTTTTTTCTATTTTTAATTTCACTTTCATATTTTCTACAACAAACAGCAGGATAATGTTCACTAATACACATCACAGGTTTCGTTTTCAATATCAGTCAGAATCTGGATGTTGAGCCTGGTTCACTTTGTATGTTGGTGGGTGAGATTGGAAGAGGGCAAACTAAGTCATTTGTAGGGTCTATATAATATGTGCGCATTAAAATAAATGAGCAATACAATAATTTACCAAACCTCATATTCTTGTATAGCATCAGTGCAAATTTAACATGGCAAGCTATGATAAAGAATAGCTACTTATTATGTAGTGCTTCAAATCAATGTTTGTACTTTGAAAGACTATTTAATTGATTAAATTCTATTTTTTACTCAATTTAATGTTTTTGAACCTGGTTTATTTTCTGTGTGGTATTGGTTGTAAATGTCAATGTGTAGATAATTTTATTTGTTTGTTGTCTTTGTCTGAACATGTTCACATAAAAATCACTGTGAAAAGTGATCTCTATCACTCTGTCACAAAGAGTGGGATATTTGTAGGTGCTTTGTGTTGTAATAAATTGGCACACCACCACAGTCTATTCCTATTGGTGATTATGCATGAATGAGTGAATGTGAGAAATGAAGAAAATATGGTGAGATCTACATACATTGAGTGTCCTTCTTTGAGTAGGTTGCATTAACTAACTGTAAGAGTAAAATTGCGTTAGACCAAATGAGCTCTAATCATGCAGTGTATGTACAGGCAACCAGATGGCGCAGTAAAAGATTTAGCTGACCCGTGTCTGTCGGGGAGCTAGGTTAAGTTAAAAGTCAACCTCAAGTAGGACACTCCGTAAACTTGAGACTTGTGGTTTGTCCGAAACAGAGGACACGAGAAAGTCCTATAGTATCCACCAACTGGACACGGCGCGCTCTGCAGTCCGTGCGTAAAACTAGGTTGTAGGCAGCGTATATAAACGCATAGGACGAGTTGCGATGTTTTCTATTAAGCTCTTGAGAAGCTCACGGGCTGTCCACCTTGCAAGGCCGCTGCACACTTCTTCTATCGCCAAAATGCCGATTCAGGTTAGTCTGTTCATCGAGAGTATAATTAGACTACTCTCATTTAGCCCTTTACGCAATGCTAACAGAAGGATCTTATGAATGAAATTGTTGGATCCTCTTGTCTAGTTATTTCAGTGCCTTCGTAGTAGCATAGGCTACCGCCCATTGAATCACCATGGTATAACTTCACCTCGGTTTTTTTTTAAAACCTAGGAGTCCGCACCAAACTGGACTCGTGCGCATATTTTATTCTGAGGTGTGTTATTATGTTAGCCTAAGCTAACTGTACTTACTGACTGTAAACCATGCCCGCAACGTTTCCATGCGTTTTGTTTCTTCTACTGTAGGCTACAGCACATTATTATATATATTATTTTATTTTATTTTATTTTTACACAAATTGATCTTTGGCGAATAGCGCTTTTGTAAGCTTTTTAAATCATTGGCAATTTCGACAAATTGAGCAACGTGTTTTTAGACAAAGCTACTACTTCCCTGGTGCAGAGACCAATAGGTATCATATCCAGTGCTCCAATTTGGACACTGAAAGAAGGGTATTGCGAAGTCTTTAAAAAAAAAAAAAGTAAAATAAAATCTACCCCTACATACAGTAAGCCCTTGTTAGATTGATGTCTGATGCCCTCCAGTGTCTGAAACCTGCCATTGTCATGGACTTTGTGGTTTAATGAAGTTTGAGCTCATTTGGTGTTTTCAGAACGTTTGGCATCAAATGTGCTTTATTTTCACTCCGTTATCTTGCCAGGTTGGTGCCCCGCTTCCAGCTGTGGAAGTCCACGAGGGTGAGCCTGGAAATAAAGTGGCAATGGATCAACTTTTCAAAGGAAAGAAGGGAATTCTCTTTGCTGTTCCTGGGGCTTTTACTCCTGGATGCTCCAAGGTTTGCTCACTTTTATCTCTGAATATGACTCACATTATGTTTTCATACATTACTAAACTACTGGTGCTGGTTTCAGACACATCTCCCAGGTTTTGTGCAACAGGCAGCTGAGTTGAAGGGTAAAGGAATTCAAGAGATAGCTTGCATCTCAGTGAATGATGCATTTGTCATGGCGGCCTGGGGAAAGGAACAGGGAGCTGATGGCAAGGTGTTTACTGTCACATATGCACAACAAAATTAATGGTATAAAAATAATAGTTGTGACTAACTACAGTGCTGCTTTATTGCACAGGTCCGAATGTTGGCTGACCCCACTGGAGCCTTTACTAAGGTAACTCTTCGGTTATTATTAGGCTGCTGTTCTTGTAACTTGTAACTTTTTAATTTTCTATTTGCATTTTTAGGAAGTTGACTTGATACTTGACAGTGAACAACTTGTACAGGTTCTTGGAAATAAACGATCAAAGAGGTACTTTAAAATTGTGTTGAAAATATAATTAAATTACCTTGACCCATGCATTTGAGTTGTGATGTGCTGTGTTTCAGATATGCTATGCTGGTTGAAGATGGTATTGTGAAGAAGATAAATGTGGAACCTGATGGCACGGGATTGACTTGCAGTCTGGCTTCCTCAATTTTGTCTGACCTGTAGATGCAATAAAAGTATGAATTGTAGGCTATATGCCACATTGTTCTCTGATGCAAATGCCAGTGGGAAGTGTTTGGGTGTTCAGAAAACAAATACGCACAACTATCATATACTTGAAGGGGGTTATATCATCATGTTGTAACATAAAATGCTGACTTGAGTGCAATAAACATCATATGTACAAGAGTACCCACTGTGTCCAAATGTGTATGGGCTGGTACTTGTCACATGTTGTGTGGATTAAAATCTGTATACAGCCCATACACTTGCATCATGGGGACATGGCTCCCTTGTAGAGACAGAAATCAGATCTCCATGACATAGATCCCTACTATTAGATCAATATTATGTTTTGGTTTGTTTTCTGAGTGTGTAAGAGTTTCTAGTTTTGATTACATGATCTTAAATTCTACACAGACACTAACCATACAGTTTATGGCACTAACCCACGAGTTTAAAAGTTTACGAGATTTTTATACAGTATATGGCATGGAACCCTAAAAGTATAATAACATATTTTTCTTATTATAGATCCATGCGTAGAACCATAGAACTATTATATAATATTATATATTAATATTTACAGTCTGTGATAGAACTATGGGTGAAATCAAATTGTTTTACGTCATCACGTTGCCTGGCCGCACAGAATTGTGGGACGCTGTACAGAAGCTAACTTCGAACTGCACGGACCGTGTGTTTCTGTCCGGATTGTGCATATTAGACACATTAAAGCAAGGTAAGGGATTTATATATTTGTCTGTTTGTGCTATATAAAGTGTGTTGTTTACTCGGTGTTATGTTATCGTCAAAGTTGTAATTCTGTGAGGAAATAGTAGCTTGAAGAAGGCGCCCAAATGCCCAATTTAGCATTTAGCACTAGCATTTTAGTCCTTAATGAACATGTTCGGACAAACGCCTTTTGGGCATGAGTCAGCTCTTAAAAATAGAGTGCACTCCCTCTTATCAAACAGCAATGAATGGAAAGTGAAAGCAACAGTTCCCTCCACGCCATTAATGTGCGTTAGCCTGTAGCACAGAGTCTGCTGGGCGCGCATTTCAACAGGGGGTGTACCCATTCATCTATAAAGGCAGTAGCGTGAAGACGGCGCCCAAAATTCCCAATTTAGCATTTAGCACTAGCATTTCAGTCCATAATGAAGATGTTTAGACCATGGATCTATTAAAATAACCAGCAATAATTGGAAAGTGAAATCAACAGTTCACTCCACGCCATTCTAGACCCATGGGTGTGCCTTACTAACTTATTGAACTTAAAGAACGACTAATTTTCTTGTAACAGACCTTACATATTAACGCATTTTTTTAAAATCTAAGGAAACATAAATTACTCAAGGTTTGCTTTTTCTTCTCACAGTTGGTTCTATATTTCAACATTTTAACGGCTAATGAGTGCGCTTTCTTTTCGTCTTTTTGATTTGTTTATTTTATCTTATCAGTGCGTGACTTGCAACAGCCTTCAAAGCAACCATGTCGTCCACATCCCAAAAGCACAGGAACTTTGTGGCAGAGCCGATGGCAGACAAGCCTGTGACGGCTCTTGCTGGAATTGGAGACGTCCTGGGTGGAAGACTGGAGGAGAAAGGCTTTGACAAGGTACAAACTATGCGCTCTTTACATTTAGCCATATAGTTTTATTTCATTATTCAGACATTATACAGATATTATTCAGTCCGTAGCTAAAATTTAACAGAAAGAAAGAATAGGATACAAAAAATATACAAGGCAACCAAAGGAGTCCATAAAGCTCATTAAGAGTCTCTGCTCCCACATATCGCTCACATATTGCTGCAGACAGACTTTATTTTTTTTCTCAAGTATTCAAATGTATCAAAATATTTACATTATTTAATTTAAATGTATCAAAATATTTATTAAGGATATATTCAAGTATCATGATCTAAGTTTATATTTTTCAGTTGAATGCTGAAGTGATGAAATGTATGTTATACCAGATTAACCAGTTATTCAGCAATTTTGTTCATAATCTGTTTTGTATTTCTTTACAGGCATATGTTGTCCTGGGTCAGTTTCTAGTGCTAAAGAAAGACGAAGAGCTTTTTCTTGATTGGATGAAGGAAGCCTGTGGAGCCAATTCCAAACAAGCAAAGGACTGTGCGAACTGTCTAAAGGAATGGTGTGATTCCTTCCTATAATCTGTGCTTGTGTTATTTTCTACTTCAAAATCAATACATTACCTCTTCTATTGTTTAATTTCACAATAGCAACAATAGGCTATATATGAAGTACCACACAATGACCTACAGAAGATGCCATGTATTTACCTCTCAAATTTTTGTTTTTACTAGATGCAAACTCAAATTAGAGAGTGACGCCCGTGCAAGTTTCACAGAATCACATTTTAGGAGAGCATAAACAGTTTGTGAAAGTATGGTTTGAAAAACGTAAGGCCTTGTTTGATTATCACTGAGAATTTTAAAATATAATGCACAAAAAACTGTCTAAAACTGAAGTAATTTTAAAAATATTTTGTTCCATAGAATGTAACAAGTAGTGTATTTCCCCATTTAGATTTGCCTTATTTGCATTTACTCTTCATTGCAACAAAAGAGCAGATGTGATGCAGTACATATTCATTCACTGACTGCATAATCACAGACACTGTGCAACACTGTTTCATTGATTGTGTGTTGTAGGTTTTGGGAACCCCAAACAGAATAGATTGATTTTTATATTACAGGGATAACCTCAAAACTTACAACACTGGTTCATTTTGTTCCATCAAATGTCATTTTAGCTTTTGGTGAAAATAAAGAATCTACATAACCAGACAATGTGTTGGTGTGCTTGTTCCAAAAATATGTAAAGGGGATCTCCTGTAAGAGTATTTTTTTTATTATTAAGTAATAGAAAGAGAAAACACACATTTTCCTAATCTATAACTATATTAAAATGTAAAGCCAGTCACAAACCCTTTTTCGAGGACAGTATTTATTTCACAATTTATTGCACTCTGTTGTGTTTCCCAAAGTTCAGAAGTCTTGAAATTGGGTTTACACATTGAAGGGACTCTATTGAACAGATAAATATCTTACAAATTACCAAAAGAAGTCATAACAGAACAGCTGTTTATTAAGCATGATGGCATAGAATACAGTGGTAGACTTATTACATACCTATAGATAAAATGTGCTGTTGAACTATAAAATCTGAATTGAATAGCCACAATTTGCTCAAGTTGCTGCTAGATTCACAGTAGCACCTATGCACACTCATACTTTAATTGTTCCACGTCCTTTTTAGAGCAACTATTAGAAATTAGTTATGTTCTACCATAAGATTTTAAAAACAGGTTTACCTATAAACAACGGAAGTCACATGTAACTGCCAAAATTGAGATATGACTTAATCCAATATAAAAAAGACAAGTAGGCTATGAAATCAGTTCCTTGGGATGAGAGAAATATCTTTTTTTCCTCTTTGTATAAATGAAGGGTTTTTGTATCCCACCATTTACACCATCTCTGACATAGCACCACCAATTTACAACCAAGACACAAGCTCAACCTGCTGAACCATTAAAATGACATTACAAGCTCTGCTCTGGGTAACTGCCAGTATGTGCTAGCATGAGATGTGATAAACCAGATGACACTGCCTTTTTTCTCCTGGGTCTTGATGGTTTTATTATGGTTTTGGTTAAATCATCAGGGTTTTTGTTTCACTGGATCATTTCTACAAGTGACAGAACATGGACGTTTTGTACTACGGCAGCTTTTATGCAAGGTGGCTATATTACATGGATGTCTTATTTTAGTTTGGAAGTACATGTACACACTGTGAATACAAGTACACAGTGTACAGTTGTACTTGGACCACTTCAATCCCTGATTTGTCTCAAAGCAGAGCGCAGAAGAACTTTTTCTCCCTGAAGGGGTTTTCTGAGGTGGGCACAGGGGTGATGAGGGGGTCCTCACAGACATGTGCATCACAGTAGGCCATGAGGTCAGCCGCAGCCTTTGACACCTGCGCACAACACAAGGAAACATTGACAAAACAACAATTGGATTTTAGGCATAGGGGTTAGAAAACAGACATTCATAATAATTAAATGCCGATGGAACAAAATATTCAACTTGACTCAGCACTGAGTAAGCTGCTGAAAAGTGCATTCAAGGTTACAGATGACAATTATCTGGTCTTTTTTTTTTTTTTTTTTTACAAGGGCTCCCTACTGTCTATTACTATTGAGCCATTTTACAATACTTAGACTACTTACTGCATTTTAAAAGCACAGACATGCAGGCTACAGTCTATCAATGATTGAAACTATTTTAGCAGACACTGAAATGTATCAATACCTTTATCCTGCAGAAACTAGCCTCAATCTTCAATTGCTCCACCAGCTTCCTGGCTTGGCCAACGCTCATGGTGCTGTTCACTGGGGTGTCTCCTTTCATCCTGGCCAAAAACAGCAACATTTGAGCACAGATTTGACTGTGTCCTTTATTTAGTAGGTTATAAGTCTACACACACTGTACATTTTATGCTTTGAGAAGTAAACATCTGAATGTTATAGCTAGGCCTACATGTCATAGATTGCTACTAACATCATTATGCAAAAACACACTATTAAGTGAGTCTAGTAGGCTATTTTTGTTAGCATACCCAATTTATTCCAATAAAAGCAAACTCAAATCAGGCCATTATAGCCATATGTTAATGGCCCACTGTCCCATCACTGCGAGCATGCACAGAGACATGGAAATAGGCTGGAGAAAAATTAATACTTAAACAAATCGGTGTCGAGCTGAACAAATATTCAACGGATAAAAAAAGAAAAAAAAAAGAAATAATCAAGCTGTGCTGTCAACGGGGGGGAAGAGAGAGCCGCACACGAGCGCATCAATTTCAACCATTCTGGACCTTTCTATCCATTGTCTAACGTGTTATCCTCCATCCACCCCCTGCATCTTACCCGTAATATATTCCTCCTCAGGTACAGTCTTCCCCCCTCTTCTCTTGTCTTCTGTGGCCCTCAGTCTTGTGTTTTTTGGTAGGATATCAGAGCAGCCGGACCCCACCCCTCACAGTTACACCGCCTGGATGCTGCCTGCCTCTGTACAGTTCAGTGCACTCCGATTCTTCCACAATGAGCACTAGATGTGTGCTGGATGGATGGATGGATCACCCCCTTTTCGGCAGTGAATGGTTCGTACCAGATGGCGAGAGGAATGGCAAAGCATATGGGTGGGTTGTACCATATGGAGACAGTAGGGAGGATCTGATAGTGGACTCAAATTACATCCAGAAATCATTAGCAGCCAGAATGATTGCCATGTGGTATTATTTGAATGCAAGAACAACATGTACCGGACAATTATGATATTTTATTGCCGCATTTTCTCAGTTTTGACTGGACAGGTATTCATCCTCCTCTCGGTTGCCATGGGGACTGCTGCAAGTCTGCTCCATCAGTTTGCATCATATTTTAACACGGGGAAAATGTCACAATGCTCCCACTTGAATTAGGTTGCTTATCCATGGGTTTCAGATTTATGAAAAAAAACAAAAACAAAACAGGGTCGTTACCATAGGGATTAACAATTAAAAATGTATATCTTATATCTGTATCTTTTAAATGGTGAAAAAAGCATAAAAAAGAAGCTGTCATACGTGTAATCAAAATCGTTCAAAAATAAATATCTTAAATATAAAAGAAATAAAATAAATTTAAGAACTCATTTCATGTAAGTATTTTCTTCCCTTGGTTCATGTCATTGGCCATTCACCCAGAAGAGGCAGTCTCT